TTGACGAAGGCTCACGGATTGGCAATTATGCCTATCTACAAGCGCCTTACAGAGGAGAAACTCCTTATTCGGTGCCTTCATGGCAAGACACAGAATGCAGCCGAATCGCTGAACAGCAAGATATGGCTGCAATGTCCAAAAACAAAGTTCGCCTCCAGAACAACTGTGGAGACAGCCACCGCTCTTGCTGTACTCTGGTACAACAAAGGCCACAGGGGCTTTGAAGAAGTGCTCGAAGGCATTGGAATTCTCCCCTCACAAGATCTGGCCACACATGGTGACCACTGTGACGTCATGCGCATCAGGAAGATGAACCTGAAGCAAACTGCATAAGCGAGGGCACACCGTCGCAACACAGCGAAGAGAGCTCGTGTTGAGGACACTGACCGCAAGAGCCGTGAAGGACCAAGCTATGGTGCAGGGGACTTCTAGACACTTGCAGTGCATTCAAGGCAAGGTACTTTTCATTGTGCCCCAATTTGATGCAAAAACAATGATTTCATAATAAATGCCAACTTTGCGAACTTTCAAACTTGTTTTTCTCATTTTCATTTTTTCTGACAGTTTCACGTTTTCCGGGCAGCCTTTTAGAAACTTATATTCATTGTATAGTAACGAAACTTGGCACACATATTCTTCAACACATGCAGAATGCAAATATCTACTCTAAATTGCAATGCCTACCAGCATTAGTTGTGAAAATATTAGCTTATTGTTTCAAGGGAGATTGAAAATAATAAGTCATTCAATACAATTTTTTTTTCTTGGTTCCAATATTTCTGTGACATATCTATATAGATATTTGCACTTTTCAATCTACCAAGAGTCAAATAAGATCAGACACAGTGCTTTTACTGAAAGTTTAGTACATAAAAGAGTGCCCGCAAAAATGTAACTTTTTGCTATTGTTTATGGCATAACTCAATAATTATAGCAGCTACACAAAAAATGATTGCATATTTGAAATCTGCATGAAAAACTATACTAATAACAAACTTTTCAAGTCTCTACTACTAGAAATAAAAAAAAAACTTTTTCGAGGAGCGTCTCCCCTTAACAAGCAATTATTGCGCATATCTGAAGCACAATAACAACACATCAATGTTCTGTATGTGTCCCTTTATACTAAAGAAGACATACATAGGTAATTCTAAGGACCGTAGCGTTCATTGCGCTGCGCTTACAATGTACAGTTATGCACAAAAAATCACAGCATATCCACGGAGTGCATGATGATGAGTGGTGCGAAGCATCTGTCAGTCCATTTGCGCTCCCGTCCGTCCGTGTGTCCATCTGTGCGGTCGTCCGTCCGTACTTCTGTCCATATGGGCGTCCGTCTGTCTAATTGTCCATCTGTTTGTCCGTGTATCCGTCCATTCATGCATCCGTCTGTGCATTTGTCTGCCTATCCATCCAGCTGTCCGTGCGTCTGTCCATCGGGCCGTTCATGTAGTAAACACACTTAAGTACAACCATCTCGCATCTGTTCATCATATATTAGAAGTACCGCCATCCAGTGGACATTCTAAGAATTGAACAAGAGGTGGCACGGCGAGACGCGCGCACTCTCTTACGGTCTGTGCTTCGTGTCTAGTTCACAGCACTGCAGCCCAACCTGCGCTAAACCTTGCTAAAACCAACGAGGTTAAGCTCAGTGAGTTTAACGAGGCTACCTTTTCTGGTCAGATATTGTGCTGAAAGTGAGTCTTTCAGTTACTAGTTTTTTCATTAGGCATCAAATTCAAGGCGAATTTTATTAGAGATTAAGTCACTGATACTCATCTCCGTAGGTTATTTCATCAGAAACATTCATCTTTTTATTTATGATTAATGAGGGTGGCTTTCCTCCTCAATTTGTATGAGTGCACGCGTGCCGCTCCTCTAGTCCAGCCGTGGAGGTGGCTACAAACTACTACGACGCACTACTACTACATACATACATCATGGATGCACGACCCACGGCTTAACTCTTTTGTTACCGCCCGAAGATGGTAGTTTTTCATATGTCTCATGAAAATCGTTTTTGCCGGTTTTAAAAGTACTTCAGCACTTATCGCAGCACACCAAACTTTGCACATTAAAATGCTCTTTCCAAAAAATATATGTTCTAGAGCAACAAAAACATTTTTGAATGAATAAAAATGCGAAAACTGTGAAATTTTGAGTTACCAGATGATAAACAGTGCAATAAAAAGCACTATATATGAAAAAATATTCAGAACAAAGAAAATTCAGAATATACAATTTGTGGATAAACGAGCCCGGGACAGTAAAAAATAATGAATTTTGTACAAAATGTTCCTCTTCACACAGACAAAAAAAATCAGAATCGAGGTGCTGCTCCGTTGCTCGTGCCATGCGGTGAGGCATTGCAAAGTTTTCCTGAGACACAAGTGTACTCATACTCTTTTCTCAGTAAATTTTGTTGTCTTGGGATAAAGAGCCTCCAGGTGTTCCAGTATAGATGGATACCCATGGTGTGAATAATTCCTGTATAAATGAAGTGTCCAATGAGCTCTATTTCATTTAGCGTCACATCTTTCCGTGAGCCACCTCACTCCGTATAAGGTGGCATTCCCATATGTGCATCCAAGCATTTTTTTCGTTTTTGCACATATCGTATTAAAAAAAGGATAATATCGCGTGCAGTTCTAAAAGGTTTCGCACTGCTCCGAAGTCAGGGCCAAGATGTGCTCCGGGAGCCTCCTTGTAGTTACGAGAAGCTCCGCAGCCAGCACCAGCACACGGCGAAGTGTGGACCACGCACGTAGCCAGAGTAGCTATAAGATTGTGCACCAAGGTAAGAAGCTATACGCAGTTGTGGCGGAGAAGACAACTTGAGCATGTATACAACAGAAATCCATGAACGGCTACAGATGTCTGAGGCTAACGCAAAACATCGTCGCCACAAAACTTGAAGCTGAGGAGCTGTCATCTTCGAACTCTAAGCTCGTCCTCACTCAATTCAGGTGAGGTAACAAGAGATTTTTGATGAGCGCATGAGTTTTGCAGCACTGGTGCGCACCTATGAGCAAGTGACGGCGCCATAGGATCTACTAGTGACACTAGAAGTAACCCTGTGTTTGATATAACAATGCAAGCAAAACTAAAGTTGCTAGACTAAACTGTCATAGAGGGCCACTTCGACACTTTGGACACGCAGCAGACCTTCGCAAATATTTTTTGTAGAACAAATTTTCCCTGTCTTCTAGGAACAGCTCTATATTAGCTATCTGGCATATTATTAGGGCAGTTATTACTGTTTAACATTGTCCAACTGCGAAACTGACACTTTAGAACGATATTCGGCTTGCAAAGGTTCTTTTCATTACAGAACTTCAATGTTACTGTACCATAATCACGAGGAGCATGCACTTCTGTCAAGTTCGCCAGCCTAGTGCCTTTTTCGAACAATACACGCACATTGGTTAGCAGGAAGGTCTGTCAAAAATCACTATGTTGCCGAAACGGACAAATTCGAATCGATCCTGAGAGTTGTGTGCCTGAACGAACTACTAGAAAGTGCTGGGTGCACGAAAAACAAATTTAACATGGCAAAATCAACGATCCAAAAGCGTCGATGACCGGTGATCAATTTAAATAGGCGTGGTACCGAAAGAGTTAAAGAGCTTCACACCTAAAGAGCCTGTGTTTCTAACGTTTTCCTAAAGCGACACGATGATGGCACCTGCCCGTCGCTTTGCGTTCTACACCTTATCGCCTCCGAGACAAGCACGCACGCCTTCCTTCGTTATCAAAGATATGTGCCAGAAAGCGCGTGTGTCTCAACAGAAATCCATGAACCTGATGCGCTCTTTTGTCTTCGCTGCACGGATAGAGGTACTTTAACACAGCGCCTACAGAATACAATTCACCGATTTTCTCGCGTAGAACATCGAATAAATGTTTTGTTCACTCTCCAGACTCAAGACTATAGTCTTCGGACGACATTTGCAGTGAAACATGCAGATATGGGGCCAATTTTTTTTTTATCGACGATGTCATAATGGCACGCTTTTTGGTAGTCTCCCCATTGCCTTCGGTATTTGGCAATGGCTACAAGAAAAGGCACCCCCGCGATCGGGCGCAAGTAGGAATAATTGATCGGCCGATTACGTGCTGTAGCAGCAGCACATTGTATGCGAATGCAGCTTTCCAAATGTACAATACGACGGCCATCTCCTAATTTCGCTCGAGATTACTTCCAGGTTCACAACCATCTTGTTGTGCAGCAATGGCACAAGTTAGAGAAAGAAGACCTTTTTGCAGCAGCAGGGTACAGTAATTTCCAGTTGGCGCAGGTTGGTGCAATTGGCGCAGGTTTCGCACCACTGAAACTGTCAACCTCTAACCTTTTGTCATTTCTTGCTATTTATATTTGTGTCTTCTTCAATAGGCTTTCAGCTGCTAGCCTGCACTTGTGCCTTCTGTGTTTTTTTGTCTCTTAAGTTTTTGTAGTTATGGATTATCAGATCGCCCAGCGTTCAGTCCTCCCAGATCTTGACGGGGGCTCATAGACTCTGTGGGGATCTGAGGCGACCATTTTGCGGGTATTTTCACCGTACTCCGCTCCCCTTGCCACGTCCAGTGCTCTCGTGAAGCCGCGTGGTCTTGGTATGTCTTGGGCTTCGAGAGCTGGCGAGACTGAGTCAAGTGCGTGTCAGACAGGCTCCCTCCTAGGGCAGCGCACGGTAAGCTCGTGTTTTCTCTTCCGCCTTGGGAATCACCGGTCTGTAGCCTGCCTGGGTGCTTCATATCCTCGACAGGCATGTTTACCTTTACACTAGCTCTGGTTCCATACGATAAACCAAACAGCGGTGCCCACTACGCCAAGCCACACTTGCAGGAGGCCTCGGCGTATGACATTTACCCAAACTCTCGTGACTAGGCCCAGTGGCCATCGCGGGAGCGCACAGCATAGCCACTTTGGAACGTGCTTCCCATCTTAGTCAATACAAGCAGTTTGGTGCAATGCACCGAAAATTCTGAATGTGACTCACGCTCCCATCAAAGTCGTACTTGGCTTTCACCTTCTCCACTTTCTTTGCAGCCTGAAATAAAGGAGAAAAAAAAAAAAAGTCATTAGTTCCCCAAAAGTCTCTTCTTCCAGCCACGTGAGAATTGGAATGAGACTCAAGCGCGCTGCCTATTCAAACAAGAACAAAGCTCCATGAGAAACTCAAGAAGGGCAATGAACGTTTCCAGGGCTTGCCAATTGCTACGACCCACAGTCCCTATATGTTCAACTGATACAAATAAACTTTCTTTGGAAAAAAAATGATAAAAACTTCAGCTGTTATTAGCTGCACACAAGCAGGGACATGCACTTAACACTAGAAAGTAAACAGAATACTGGATCAATAAAATTGTAATTCATGAAATAACATTCTAAATACATTTATGTGATTGCCGGCAGGCACGGTAGACAAATACTGCAAAGTATAACAATGCCTCAATGCTAAAGACTTGCACTGTCTCACATGTATTCCTGTAAGACGACTCCAAAAAGAAAGATAGGTTGTTTTTCTTCCTGATTGATTATATTGCTGGGCATAACATGACATGAGTTATCTAGTAACACAAAACCAACCATCTCTGATGCATTTTTGTTTTCTTTCTCTGAGGCTTCTCTATGCTAGAGTAAGAGCATTCTTGCAGCAGTTCCATTATTGTTTTCTTAGATCCGCTTCAATCGAGCTTGCGAAGTGCGTTCAACAGAAAGGGGGGCATGAGTAAACAAACTTTGTTCTCCATTTTCAGCTGTATATGGATAGGGCATTCAGATTGTATACCGAACGCCGCCTAGTGCTCTCTAAAGAGCAGTGGCAAAAAAAAAGAAACACACACACAGGATACCTTATCCATTTGCCTACAACAACTTGAAGGCAAAAGCCATTTTCTTTTTATAGCGATAGCAATTATATGGACATTCTCGACACGTTTTTGCTGTCATCGTCATGTCCATCATGTTTTGTGTAATGTTATAATCGGTAACATCCCCCTTGCCCCCCCCCCCCTCACATGGTATGTTTTACTAGTGAGTAAAAGTGCACTGGCAGGGGTGACAAACGCAACTGAAGCTGAAATAAAAAAGTGAGTTTCGGTACAAGGCCGAAGCAATAAATGTGACGGCAACACATCCGCTTGTTATATAAAGTAAAAGAGTGGCTATTAGGGCTAGTTCGTATTGCCTTATTGAAAAAAATGTACTTTCTAAGTGTACAGGGAAAGTTTCAGAAAGAAGACAGAGCACACCTATCTACGAAAGTACATTTCTTTCAAATATGAAGTTAGGCTAAAAGATTTAGAAACCATATGAAATATAGTGAACATAGTCAGTTCTTGAACCACAATATCCAAACAGGTGTTGTTGTGAATACTTGGCTGCGTGACGTCCGACAGAAGGCAAAGTTGTGGCATCGAGAAATGCGATAAGCCACTGATTTTCACGTCAAAGTACATTAACATTGAAGTCTCCAGTGACTATCAACGGCTCATCCTGCTGACCCACTGCACAAAAGTTGAGCAGAATAATTTCATGACATCAGCTGTGCGATGTTTTGACAGTGCGATCGTCACCACAACTCATCTGAGGCAGTGAGTTGAGTTTGTCCATCTATAGTGATAGTGACGGCACACATTTAGATTGGACTCATATTCACACGCACAACCGGACCAGCAACTTCCCCTTTAGTCCTGAACTTGATGCGAGCAATTTTTCCTGTTGCTTTAGAGTGAAAATGAAGCCAGTGCGCCCCCCCCCCCCCCATTCAGGAATTCCCCTTTTATTTAACTATATGTACTTCAGTACGAAAGTAATGTAAAACAACCTCGCAAGAGAACAGTGTTTTGAGATAGGTAATAGTGAACTTGAAGTTTTAAAAGACTATGTCTACTTAGGACAGGTAATAACGGCGGAGCCGAACTACGTGATTGAAGTAACTAGAAGAATAAGAATGGGGTGGAGCACATTTCGCAAGCACTCTCAAATTATGACAGGTAGATTGCCAGTATTCCTTAAGAAGAAGGTATATAACAGCTGCATCTTGCCAGTACTTAGCTACGGAGCAGAAACCTGGAGACTTTCAAAGAGGGTTCAGCTTAAATTGAGGACAACGCAGCGAGCAGCGGAAAGAAAAATGGTAGTTCTAACCTTAAGAGACAAGAAGAGAGCAGAGTGGATTAAAAAGCAAACTCGGGTAAAGGATATCATAGTTGAAATCAAGAAGAAGACATGGACATGGGCCGGGCATGAAGCGCGTAGACAGGATGACTGCTACTCCTTAAGGGTAACTAACTGGATTCCCAGAAAAGACAAGCAGGTTAGGGGGAGACAGAAGGTTAAGTGGGCAGATGAGATTAAGAAGTTTGCGGGCACATATTGGCTGCAGCAAGCACAGGACCGAGTTAACTAGCGGAACATGGGAGAGGCCTTTGTCCTGCAGTGGACGTAGTCAGGCTGATGATGATGATGATGACTTCAGTGAATCCAGTGCTCCATTGACCAAGCCATCGGACACGTCAATGTTTAGAGAAAGCATGTATGATTTGTCCAAGCAAAGTACATGCTTTGTTCAAGAATGCTACTTCGAAGCCCATTACAGTAAGGCAGTAGTAAAAAGTGTATATACATATCTCGATGTTAGTGAGATAGACAGTATGAGCGGCGTGGCCTACTTTGTTAGCGCTGAGGAGCGAGGGGCCACTGGTTCGGTGGGTGCCATGGGATTTTTTTTCTTATAATTTATTTTTCTTTGAGCTTTTTATGTACAGTTAAACCATTTATAAAAGGCATGCTTCGGGCAGCAATTCTTGTCCTTTATACGAGATGTCTCAATAGGCAAAGGACTTCGTATGGATTTTCCTATACCCCGTATTTTATCGTAGGCCTACTGGTGTCTCTTACACCCCTTGTCTCTTCTATCAGTGTATCAGAAAAGGGTTTGATTGTATATGTACATACTGTGGGGTCTCGATGTGAAGAGAGCCAGGCTCTTGGAGCCAACCAAGTTTACATAAATGATATTTCAGCAGGTATTTAATCACATATTAGATTGTTTGTAGACGATTGTGTTGTGTATAGACAAGTAAAGAATGACAGAGACCTTACCCAACTGCAAACTGATTTGGAACGTGTTCAAAATTGGTGCTCTACGTGGAAAACGAACCTAAACAATAAAAAGTGTGTCTGTGTCTCTTTTACAAAGAAGCGGAAACCTATGAAAACAGAGTATACTTTAAACAATGAACGTCTAAAAAGAGCAGATAGTTATAAATACCTAGGGATAGTCTTGTAATCCGACTGCTCGTGGAATGCACATGTAGATGATGTGGTTGGTAAAGCTGGAAAGGCGCTAAGCTTTATCCAACGTAACTTAAAAACTTCGGAACTGTACTTAAAAAAGACAGCCTATTTAACATGCATACGACCTATACTGGAATACGCTTGTGCCATATGGGATCCTTCGCAAGCCACATTGATTGATAAAATTGAAAAAATTCAAAACAGGGAAAAAATTAAAAACTGGGCGGCTAGGTTCGTCTTGGGACGGTACAAGAGAGGGGAGAGCTGCACTCAGATGAAGAATGAGCTTGGGTGGGAACTGCTTTCCTCACGTCGGCAAAAGCTGCGACTGAAGTTCTTTTTTCAGATATATAATGATAAAACAGGAATTAATAAAGTAAAATACTTTAAGGAACCTCATTACCATTCATCTAGAACTGACCATGTTTTTAAAATAAGAGAATTACGCACCCGGACGAACCTGTTCGCGAATTCATTTTTTGTTAGAACTGTTAAAGAGTGGAATGGATTGTCTGCCATGCAAGTGTGCTGTAAGAAGAAAGAATTGTTTATGTCGTTTCTGTAACCCCCTGTCCGCGAATTCATTTTTTGTTAGAACCGTGAAAGAGTGGAATGAATTGACTGCCATGCAAATGTGCTGTAACATTGAAGAATTGTTTATGTTGTTTCTATAACCCCCCTGCTGTAACGCCTTTGGGCAATGCGGGGTAACCTTTGAATAAAGAATAAAACCGACACAGCAGACACAGTCGAAACCAACCAAACACATTTATTTATTTAACTGCTTTCAGAACAATGATATCATCAGCAAAATTATAACATTAATTGGGATCAACACGCTAAAACACCTTTACATTAAATTGGACCACACTCAACAACATAAACACAATATCACATATAAGGCAGCTTCGCCAACGCTTGACTCACCAAGTGGGCCCACCACAGACGGCCCGCGGTGCCGTCAACGGCAGACCAACCACTGAAGGCAACCGTTCACGGCAACCGCCACCCGCAAAAGAGACTATCTTCTTTCTCCTGCGCCGCCACCCAGGCTTGCCGCCAGGTGTCACAGCTGGTGCTACCAATCTAACAACCATGATGATGGTGGTGATGATAAGCGTTCGCAAGTGCAATGCCACCTACGTCCCGGTAGTTGTAACCCAAAATGCGGCTTTGCGCAAGTCACTTCCACCACGAGGCGCAAACAACTTTACAGAAAATGTGAGCACAGCTGCAATACATATACACTCAAACCTCATTATAACGTAATGGGATATATTGAATCAATGAATATAACAAAGTAAATAAAATTCCCCTTGAAAGCTCCATTGAGAACCATGCATTTTAAACTTCGTTGTAACGAAGTGAAATTGACTGGTAAATGGATATAATGAACTAAAAGTCTATCAAATAGTCTATAAAAAAAGGGACCGTTGTGCGTTACGTATATCGTTTTCTGTAGAGTTAGACGATCGTTCGGCGCGGCTCTTTCAAAACTCCCGCCCTGGCCTTACAGCGACACGCGGCCGAGAAAGCCGTCCTCCTCACCCAGCCAGCGTAGTAGATTTGATGACTGCTCAGCGAGTCACATGACCGCTCAGCGGCCATGTGACTCCAGTGATTTCCCTCTCACTTAAAAACACACGATGAGAAAATTTCAGGAGACTTACATTTATTCAGAAATCAGAGGACATTAGCCATTAATTGAAGTAATCGGTGATGCACGTCTGCACACAATTGCCTTGC